AAGCTGAACGGGCCGCATCCAGTCCCCGGGCCTTAGTTGTCCCACGCCTGCTTTAGCTCAACGACTTGTTAGCTAGTGACGTTTGGACCAATGATTAAACAAGCCATTTTGGCTAACATTTAGCCAACATTTTTTCTAATTTAACTCAGACATGTCTAAGACACTTGCAGCTTATTAGTTGTTGCTACTCACTGTTAACTTTGATCAAATGTGTTAGCTCACATTCCTCTGTTTCCACTGCCCAACGGTTGGTCTTTGTCCAATAGATGGTGCTATCGACTGCTATCTAAAGTATTAAAGTATAATCTTTTATGTGTCTGGAGAACGTTGCAGCCTGGACTTGTTTGTTCTCCGTGGTTCTCCACAGACTGTCCTCCACACAGCTAAACCTGTTACAGTCTTCATCAGGAGTTGAGTCTTATTAAAAACGTCTTCTGTTAAATGGATCAAATCCAATTTAAGGCCCTCCGCCCCCGCCCCCGCCCTCCGCTCCTGTCCCTGTCCCTGTCCCTGCTGGCAGCCATGTTTTCATTGAAACTGTCAGATCCGACTGTGAGACAGAACCTCACACAACAACACATGGGAAAAAAAAGGAAAAACAAACTAAAAAAACAAGTCTGTGCTGAATCTGTGCCTGTGGTTCAGTTCTGGACGTTTCTGAACTCCCCCCCCCCATGGATACACCCCTGTTTCTGACATGATAACAGGTAGATCAACGTTTCCCTGAAGTTTAATTACACACACACACACACCATCTCTGTCCTCACCCCCCCCACCCCCACCACTTCTCTGCTGCTGTTTTATTCCCATCACGTTACATTCCTTGGATTTCTTAAGTGCTGTGATATAAGCTCTCTCTCTCTCTCACACACACACACACACACACACACACAGTCCTAACCTGGGTGTACCTGCTGACACACACACCTCCATTGGTGTGAATGTGCTGACTGTCATTGTTAGCTTGTAGCTGCTGATCGTATGGGTCAGTACGGGTCAGTATGGGTCAGTATGGGTCAGTACGGGTCAGTACGGGTCAGTACGGGTCAGTACTGTAGGTCTAGAGGAACATCCACTGTGGCTGTGGGTCACACCCCAGACCTCTCAGAACTTTAAGGACTGACAACTAGAACTGTTGAGAGGCCGACGGTCCCGAACCATGACTTACTAATGATTAATGCAGAGACACAACGGTTCTGTCTGTTCACCTAAACGATGACTCAGTGTTCAGACAGAAGTCCACATGGTCCATCACCGCTGGTGTCTGTTCAGAAAGTCCACCTTCACACACAGGTCCGCTGTAAAAGTTCAGCTGCAGAAGGCGGAGGACCAGGCTGAGGTTCTGACGTGAGCAGTGAAATGATGTCAGAGGGAGAGAGAGGGAGAGAGAGAGAGAGAGGTTTGAGCGGGCGGTGATGTTCCGCTCACATCCGTGGACCCCAGACCCAGGGAGTCGGTCTTCGCCAGGGTTTCCTCACAGAGGTAGGTTCCTGGTTCTTGGTTCCTTGTTTTGTTTTGTTTTGTTTTTATAAAATGTTATTAAACATTCACCTAAAATCCGTCCACGACGATGATCGATTTAAACGATCAGGTTATGGTCCGTTAAAGACGGTGATTAAACCTCTCTCCTCGCCGCGGTTACTCACAGCGATCAGGATGAAGATCACGTTCATGTGGAAGATTTTCTGATCCTTCGGTGAAACATTTTGTTTCGGCCCAGTGAGATAATGCTAATTGATAATGACGCAACTGTGACGTGACCGTGAAATCTAATGAGCTCATTTGGCTTCTCTTTTTTTTCCCCTTTCGCCTCGTAGCTCAACTTTGAATCCTGCACATTTGACAGGAGGAGAGAAGGAGAAGAGCAGAGGAGGCTGCTGCTGCTGCTGCTGCTGCTCCAGGATTCAGCACCCTGGACAGCGGAACTGAGCGACTCTAACTAACCACGCCGCCGGAGGGCAGAGCTCAAAGCTCGGCTATTATCTATTCTCCTCCCGCTGTCTGTCCCGGAGGTGTTCTCCCCCCTGCGCCTCCTGCTGGGTCACACTGGACTTTAGTTCATTAAAATGCCTTTGAGCAGCCGAGTGGCGGAGAGTAGGAGAGCAGAGTTAGACACACAGCTGATCCAGCCTTAATCCGAACCAGTTTTGACCCAAAATTACATCTGACTTCAGAGGACCATGGGGATCGGGCGCCTCCTCCTGCTTCTCCTCTTCTACTTGGACCCTCTCAGTGTACTCAGCGCTGCCGCCGGCGCCAAGAAAACGAAGCCTACGCCCAAGAAGGCGCTGAAAACCACTGCGGTGCCCGCACTCGGTGCACAGCAGCCGACGCAGAAGAACCAGCCGCCGGCGGAAGCGGTACCGGCTCAGAATAAGCCTCCGCAGCCTCCGCCGGCGCCCGCCAGCAACCACGACACCTGTCTGGGCTACTACGACGTGAGCGGCCAGTACGACAAGATGTTCGAGTGCAACAACACGGACCACCGCTACTGCTGCGGCACCTGCTACCTCCGCTTCTGCTGCGAGTACAAGAAGGACCGTCTGGACCAGAAAGCCTGCAGGAACTACCACACACCCGTGTGGGTTCAGACCCCAGCCCCGTCCCCGGTGCCCACGGGAGACACGTATGACCCCAGCATGGACCAGACCAACACGGCGGTCTACATCACCTGCGGGGTCATAGCCTTCATCATCGTGGTGGGGGTGTCGGTCAAAGTGGCGTACGACAAAGCCACGGAACCGCCGCAGGAGATGAACATCCACCGGTGAGCGGCGGAATGTTGTGGTGGTCAAAATGTTTGAACTTTACTTAAAAAATACATTTATAAAAAACAAAAACATTTGCAACAGTGGAAAAACACATATGCACAAAAGTAAGGTTTAAAAAAAGAGTAGCTTCACCGTATATATATAAATACGTATTTATATCAATATAAATAAATTGCGTAGCTCTAACATATAACAGTATTGACTTCACACTGTGTCTGTGATCAGAGCCACCGACGAATGACTCACAAAGACAGAGGGGAAACCTAAGCTAATAGTTGAGATTATAAAACCTATTGTTCTAAATGTCCACGTCACAAACATTAGATACAAAGATATAATTTATATTTTAGTTTTTTTAAAACAAAAACGAATGGACCAAAGTCCATAGAGAAAATCAGTGATTTTAGTTCAGACCAAAGTCCATAGAGAAAATCAGTGATTTTAGTTCAGACCAAAGTCCATAGAGAAAATCAGTGATTTTAGTTCAGAACAACAGCTCCTGGTCAACTGCTGCCTCCTGTGGTTAGTTGGTGTCACTGTGTTAAACCTGAGGCAGCAGTGGATCACAGACTTGGTTGATGTAGACTTTCTGAGCCCAGTTTATTTGTGGCCTTGGCCCGTTTGTCTCCTGTGTTCAGCTGTAGACTTGACTAGAAAAACAAACATCATAAACACGGGCTAGAACACACACATGGGGCCCGTGTTTTCTCCTCTTTCGCCGCCTCCTGCTACCTCCTACAGCCAAATGTATGAGCGGCGCGGTGTGAGGCAGCGGCATCATCAGTGGAACAGATGCTGACATAGACATTATTTCCCCAAGATTGAGTAGTTTTCTTTTTATGGGCTGCATTATTCAACACTTGAGCAACCTTAAGACGGTGAATAATGTATTGTGTTAGCATTGAGGAGGGGGCGCGGAGGGCTGGGGGGGGGTCAAGGTCATGTAACATGAACGCACGACTGCATATTCAATAAGAGACGAAGTGAATGTGGAGGAGAGAGAGGGGTTTTATTCATTTATACCAAAGGTTATGTTGGTGATACATTTGTCACACAACCTCTGTTACTGCTGTTACTGCTGCTGCTGTTACTGCTGCTGCTGTTACTGCTGCAGGGACATGGAAGTAATTAGATTTCTATTCTTTTGCAAAAAAAAACACATTTTGAACTTTTTTTCTTTCATCACCTCCTCCTCCTCCTCCACCTCCCCCCCCCCCCCCCCCCCCCCCCCCCCCCCCCTGGAGAACTCCATCCTTCTATCAGCACCTGCCGCAGCGTGGTGAACATTCAAATTCAAACTAATTAAAGCACACACTCACACACACACACACTCAGCTCCCGTAAATGAACGCGGAGGCTGTGAGTGACCTCTGACCTCTGACAGAACACTCTGACGGATTTGTCGTTGAAAAGACACCTGGTGTTCGTCAGGTTTGGTCCAGTCACCATCAGACTGTTGACCTGCTCTGGTCTCCAGGGCCGTGTGAGCGTTCTGCTGTAGAACTGATTCAGACTTGGTTCTGGACGTTCCTCTTTCCTCGTCACTGATACCATCTGTGTGTCTGAATTGCAGGGCTCTGGCCGACATCCTGAGGCAGCAGGGACCGATCCCCATCTCACAGTACGACTGCGAGAACTTTGCAGCCATGAACGGCTCGCCAAAAGACAACACGCCGGTCAGGACGTCCTCCAAAAACCACTACACGCCAGTGCACGGCTCCAAATCCAACCACGGTAAGTCTAACGCCACCGTCTCTGACGTGAGGGTCACACCAACAAAGGCTGTCCTGGAGAAGGAAGTTCATAAGAACAGTGGGCTGTTTCACAATCAGAGGGTCAGGGGTTCGATGCCCAGGAAGGCAGAAACAGAGCAGAGGGGGAAAAAAAAGATTTGTTTTTTTCCTCTGCTCTGGTTTGGACGGAACCTCAGTGTGTTGTGGTTCAAAAGACCGACTCATCTTTAGTTCTTGTAGAAAAAGAGACAGCAGCATCACAGTGTGAGTGAATGAGAGAGAATGAGAGAGAATGAGAGTGAATGAGAGAGAATGAGAGTGAATGAGAGAGAATGACATCGTATTTAAATCTGACTTTGATCTGATGTACCAAGTACATATTTACACAGTCTATATGTGTATGTGTTTCAGCTGTGTGTTCACTCATTAACCAGACTGATCTGAGACCAGCTGACAGTCAGGGGGAGAAATCAGGGACAGAAGGGGAGGCAGGAAAATATGCAGACATTAAAGATAATTACAGATGCTGTGGGTGAGGAGCGACCGTCAGTCAGTCATTCACACACACACACACACACACACACACAATATGGTTCAGGAAACCTGAGCTATATCTAGTTTACGCAGCAGTAACAGCAGCAGTAACAGCAGTAACAGTAACAGCAGTAACAGTAACAGCAGTAACAGCAGCAG